TATATATTATTTAGCACTATTTTGTGCTATTTTTTTACTTCATATTTTGTAAAGCTCAACAATCTGTTGCTGCACAACAGAACTATATTCTTTGAGGTTTTTTATTGTGGTTGATGATAAAGAGAATTTGGCCTTTGTGTTCCTCATATTTATATTCCTGTGAAACAGGAAGTTATGGCTGGATAATTTCATGTTCCTATCACCCTGGTGAAAAATGTAAATATGAACGGGAATGTAGATCTTCAGAGATTGTACTAATAATAATTTCTAGGACTACAAATAATTGTGGCCAGTGTGTATTAAAGAAAAAATATTTTTATAATGTGATTTTGTTGAAATGATTGTTGTGATTTATTTATTTATTTTATTTGTATTTACTTAAAAAAAAAAAGAAAGATCAGAAGGATAAACAATACAGATTTATTTTCACAGACCTCTTTGATCGTATTTTTTTAGGGTGCTAAAAAATTCTCATCATGACTCTCTCTCTCTCTGTTGCTCTCTCTCCAAAACAGCTGCTTTATGTATAATATAATGAATAATAATAATAAAATGTTGCAAAACTGACAACAACAGCTGACTGCAATAAGTTATGCAATAATTCATTACAAAGAGATTCCTAGGCATTCCTTTTTTTATTATTCGACACCTGATGTGTGCGGTTTACTTTGCTTGTTTTAAAAAAAAAGTTTTCTCTTGTTTAGTAACACTTTTTTGTTTGTTTTTGTTGTTATTGATCACAGTCTCTTTTTTTTTGCGCTACTATTGTTTTCCTTGGATTTGCTTCTCAGTTCCATTCAATTTTAAGCTTTTCTTGGTTCATTACATGTTTTATAGGCAACCTCTGTCATTCTAATTCAGATTAGCACAGTTGGTTTTAAATTAATCTAGTTTATTTTAGTTCAGGACTCCATAGTCCAGGAGTTAGTAATCTGTACTTAATCTGTGTTTCAGAAAGTCATTTTTTTAAACCAAGATTAACTATTCTAGATTAAGCCTACTCCTATCTTAATTTAAACCCTGTCCGGGAAACCACCCCTCAGAGTTATTCATTGTTAAACAAAAATGGATACAATCATCAGTCCCCTGATGCTGCACCTGTTGCACATATTGATTTCACAATATTAAGCAAGACTGACTGCCCCATCAAGGAGTTAAAATAGCTTACCAATCAATATCTCTAAACGGTAATGGTCCATAATTGAATATGCCAGCTTTTCTTTCTCACCACTGGATCTCGTTAGCTTCATGATCATTCTACTATAATGTTCATTTGAAGCAGCTGCACTGGATTATGCTATCAGAAATTAATTTAATAGACCTTTTTTTTCTGCATAAACTCTGCAATCAGTGACAGGTAGGCAAGCTGTTCACACAGGGACTTTTGTGTTTTATCTATTTATTATTTATGAGTGAAAAAATTAGACATTTAAACTGTTTTTAACTGTTTTGTTTTTTTTGCTCACTATTGGTATTTCATAGTTCTTCACATATCATGACTCAAAACTGTAATTCTGCTGTTGGTAAATGGTGTGCATATCAGAACTACAATTCAAACCAGCATTTTAAAACTTTGTTTTAGAGCAGTGGTCTCAAACTCAATTCCTGGAGGGCCACAGCTCTGCTCCAACCCTAATCAAATACACCTGAGCCAGCTAATCAAGCTCTTCAGGATTACTAGAAACTTCCAAGCAGGTGTGAGTTGGAGCTGGTTGGAGCTAAATTCTGCAGAGCTGTTTTAGAGGGTTACAGGGTGTTGCCCCAGGTGGGCTTTAGCCCCATTTCACCCTGGAGGAGAGTATGTGTGAGGGGCTGAATCTTCCCAAACTATTTAAAGCTGCATAACATGCTGAATGGCCATAACTGGTTGTTTAAATACGAGTGAACTGTGACCAGTTTTTTTTTTCTTTTCTTTTTTTTGCTTTATATAGAAATTCTATATACAAAAAAAAAACTTTTTTTAGTTTACATCATTGGTGGTCATGCTGTAAACTACATCAAATGTAAACTATGATGTAAACTAAACTGCACAGCTTTGCAGAGTTTAGCTCCAAATCACACCTGCTTGGAAGTTTCTAGTGATCCAGAAGACCTTGATTAGCTGGATCAGGTGTCTTTGATTAGGGTTTGAGCTCAAATGTACAGGGCTGTGGCCCTCAGGAATTGAGTTTGAGACCAATGCTTTACAAATTCTTGACAGCAACACAAAGTATTTACTGTATTCTTGGCCGAAAATGTCTTTAAATGAAATGAAAACAAAAGAATGGTTGAGATTATATAATCATCTCATCATCATTATTATTGTTTTATGATTATTAACAGTAATTTTATATTATGACTAATGTATTATA